CATCCACACAATCCCTGAGTGTCCATCAACACCCCTCTGCAGCCTCCAGCATCAGTCACAACGTGGCTTCAGCTCATGGGACCAAGAGCCAACCACAACAGAATCCAACAAGCACATCTTTGTGGAGCCCCCTGAGGGCCAAGCCAGTAAGGATGCTGGCAATCCGGTCAGAGAGATGCTAACACGGGGAAGCATAGCGTAGGCCCCTCAGAGAACTGACAAGCCATTGATATAGTTGCTCAAAATCATTGTCATCCTTGTTCCCTGGTTTTTCACAAGGGGCTGTCACCGCCGGAGGATGGAAGGAGGGCACAGAGACTTTCAGGAGCTTGCTTGAGGTCCCCATAGACTGGTACCAGAGATCAGACCGGGTATACGCAGAGATTTATTAACAGACTAACCCCTGACTTGGAGATCAAATTGGCTTGAATTCCCATTTCCAGCCTTGGCTTTAACAAGGCTGTGTGACTTTGGGCAGGGTACTTGGCCTCTCCCTAAACATCAATCTCTTCTGAAACTGAGGTGACACATTTGTCCCGAGTAGAAGCAAGGTTAACAGGAAATCGCTGTGTGTAAAGGGTTAAGTGTGAGGTGAGGCATTTGGAGGGGTTCACTGGTACCCACCCTAACACCACCTGGAGCTTCCAGAGGGCGGCTACACCGAACAGTGGAGCTCAGTTCTAGAAGGCCCTTAGAAGAGCAGCGAGGAGACACAAAACCACACAGGAGCTTGTTTTCAAAGACAAAGAAAAATATGATTAGGCAGGCCTGAGAATGCTATTTTAAAAGAATGAAAATATTTTTCTTACCAGGGCATTTGTATGTCAACAGCTGATAGGGAGCTGGGAACAGGCACAGGGCTGCCAGACGCCTCCAACAGTGCAGTGTACGGAGCCTTGTGGATGATCCATAGGCTGGGACTGAGCAAGTCCCCAGGACAAGGGAGGCCTTACCAGGGCCTTGGCTTTCCAGCCGGTGAAATGGGACTGCCCAATCTGGGCATCATCCCATCATGGCTCCTTTCTCTCTCTCTTCTTTCAGGAAACTGGACTACAGCAGCTGTTGAGAGAAAGGCATTTTCTTAAGACCCCTGTCTCATTTCTAATATGCCAAGAAGGTCCAGTCTCCTATGTACTTCATAGATTTGCGAGCGGAGCTATTGATTTATCTTTCTGCAGGACTTTACTTACATCTTTAGTACCATGATCGACATCAGACTAACCGCGGTCCCAGCCATCCTGGTTGTTACAAGAGAGCACTTTCTCAGGAGATTGTAGGTTGATTCACATGAGCCAAGACTTGAGAATAAAGGGACAGAGGTGAGTAAAACAGAAAGGTTACGCTCTTTTAACCAGCTGCTCTTCCCAGCGTGGGATGGTGGTGAGCACTGGCCATTAGCCACATCGAACTAGAGGGTCAGAGGCAGAGGTGGGCCCAAGGTGGAGGGCAGAGAGGGTACCAGATCCATGTCCCAAGGCCTCCCTGTACACACCAAGTGCCTGCACACACGTCCGTGATCCAGGCTGGCTGCAGCTGGGGTGGATCATTGCATGGATACCTCATTAGGGGGTCCTCTTTCTCTCTCTCTCTTTTTCTCTTTAAAAAAATAAGCAATTTTTTAGTGACCAGCAGATGGTGTAATGGTTACACTGCTGGACTCCCAAATGGCTGACCACAGTTCAAGTCCCGGACATGGTGACTTGAAAATGACACCAAGCGTGTGTACGTGCATGCCCAAGGTCTTGAGAGGAATGTGGAGAAGGGATTGTGGTGTGGCCCTCCACCCTAGGGGGTGATTTCTCACTTTCTGTATCTCTGTCTCTCTCTGTCTCTCCAGCAAGTGCACATGCCCTATAGCAAAAACCTCTATAAAAAAATAAATAAATTTTTAAAATTAGATAATTTGTAGAAACACTGAATTTGCTTTCTAGGGCTTAGAAAGTACTAAGCATAAAATAGAAACCTAAAGTAGGAACTTAATAAATGTTTATTGATTGATTGATTTGCAAATAATAAGCACTCAGTAATAAACTTTACTTTTACTATTTGTCTTAAGAATAATCATAATTGGGCAGTTTTATGAAAAAGATGAGGCACTTATGACATGGTCTCGTGTTTGGAATGAAATGAAAATATTAGCTGAGGCCATCAGAGGAAATTCTTCTGAGGTTAAAATGATCAAGGGACTTAAAATTCCACATTAAACTGTTTGCTCTGTTCATCAGATTGACATGAAGAGGCCTCCAAACTGACCACAGTCTTCTACGTGCACACCCAGCAGAGTAAACACAGACGACTAATAAGAGCTCAGACACAACCAGCACTACAGACCTGACGAATGTATGCTGAACATTGTAGCCCACAGGAAAACCAATGAAAACACAGTAAAAGAACATGTGATTTTTTTTTTTTTGAGAGGTTTTTGCTATAGGGCGCCTGCACTCACCAGACAGACAGAGAGAGACAGAAAGAGAGAAATCACCCCCCCGGGGGGATGGCCACGCCACAATCCCTTCTCCTCCATTCTCCTCTCGGGATCTTGGGCACGCACGCACATGCGCCCAGCATGAGTTTTAAGCCACTGGGTCCGGGATGCGAACCACGGTCAACTACGTGGGAGTCCAGTGACATAGCCATTACGCCAACTGCTGGTCCCAAAAACATGTGATTTTTGAAGTGAGAGGAAAATCCAAAAGAGGAAGAGGATAAGAAATGAAAAAAGAAAAGAGAAACCTAGATCCTGTGGGACAATTAGAAAGCATATAGTAAAATAGTCCATTTATTAGGCTGTCTGGAAAGTCATGACATATGTTTCTGGTATTTTATGCAAAAAATGAGTCATGACTTTCCCAACAACCCAATAAATACATTATACATAAATGGACTAAATACTCCAATTAAAAGACTCCAGCTAAAGATTACTAGAGGGAGGGATGATTATAAAAGACGGGAAACAGGATAATGTTGGTTAATAGATTACAGGGCTTCTTTTTTGGGGTGGTGAAAATGTTCTGGACTTAAATAATGGTGATGTAAATTTTGAATGTCCTAAGAGCAGCTTTACTATACGATTTACAATGGTTAAACTGGTGAATTTAATGTTATATTGAATTTATCTCAATTAAAAATATGTAAGACTTTAAAAATATATATGGATGAAATAATTTATGAAATGTTATGAAGTTTCAATTAAATAATCTCTAGGAATTTTTTTAAAAGATTATCAAAAGTATTTTTAACTTAAATATATCCGCTTAGAAGAGAAACACATTTTCAGCCAGCTCACCCTAAACATCCAGGTACAATGGCACACACTTATGGACCCAGCTGCTCAGAAGGCTAAGGCAGGAGAATTGCAACATGGCAAGGTCCTGTTTAAAAAATAACACCAGGGAACCAGCAGTTAGCATAATGGCTATGTCGCTGGACTCCCATGTAGTCAACCATGGTTCGCGTCCTGGACCCGGTGGCTTAAAACTCATGCCGGGCGCGTGTGCGTGCGTGCCCAAGATCCTGAGAGGAGAATGGAGGAGAGGGGATTGCGGCATGACCATCCCCCCCTGGGGGATGATTTCTCGCTTTCTGTCTCTAATGTCTCTCTCTGTCTGTCTGGCAAGCGCACGCGCCTATAGTAAAAATCCCTCCAAAAAAAAATAATAAACACCACACACACACATGCACAATGCACACATACACACACACACACACACACACACGTAAATAAATAAGTAAATGAATGTCCGCCTATAGTGGCACAAGCAGGAGGGGCCCCTCGCCCAATGTCTCAGAATATATGAGAAGCTGGGTTTGGTACCTGGTTCAGTCTAACAGGCCAAGTGAGGTGGTGCATACCTGTGGGCCTAGCTAACTGAGAGGTTGGAACAGGAAGGACTGTAATGCTGCAAGACCTTGCTAAAAAATATGTCTCTCAGGGCCAGCAGGTGGCCTGGTGGTTAAGGTGCTGGACTCCCACATGATTGACCATGATTCGAGTCCCAGACCCGGCAACTTGAAAATCATGCCAGATACATCTGCATGGGTACCCAAAAATCCCATAATGAGGCTGGAGGAGAGGAGATTGTAATGTGCCCATCCCCTCTGGGGGTGATTTTTCACTTTCCCTCTCTCTGTCTCTCTGTCTCTCTCTCTCCAGCAAGTGCATGTACCCTATGGCAAAAACCTAAAAAATAAAAGAAATAAGGAAAAAAATCTCCCTTCTATTCTCTCTCTTTCATAATAAGTAAATAAATAAATAAAATTAAACATAAAAAAAATTTTAGAAGTTAAAGGACAGAAAAAGATACATCATGACAAACAATAACCTAAGAAAGCAATATAGCTATAGAACAATAATTAGTGAAAACAGGCAAAAAGCATTACTAGGAAATAGGAGAGCCAGTTCATAAAGACAAAAGGTTTGGTTCTTGGGAAGATAAAATAATACTAAATATGTATGCAGTCAATAATATGTTCTCAAAACAAATAAAGCTAATTTAGGCAAGTATACAACAAAAGAGACAAATTCTCTAAGTGAAAGAACATTGTAACTATACTGAACTAAAGGACAAATAAAGAACACTGCACCTATTAACTGGGCAATTAAAATTATTTTCAAATACATACAAAACAGTTGACCATATTCTGGACCATAAAATAATCCTAACAAATTGAGAGGTATCAAAATCATAACTGCGTATTTTTGACTAGATACAATTAAGACTAAAATCAGTAAAAATGAACAAAAATGAAAAATATTTGTATGTTCAGAAATTAAGGAATACTTTTTAAATAATCAGTGGATCAAAGATGTCCCAATAGACAACATTTTTTAAGGAATAATACAAAATACAAAATACAATAATACAAAAATACTATGCATCAGAATTTGCCAGATACAGCTGTAGCAATGCTGAGAAGGAAACTTACATCCACAAATGCCTATGTTTGTGATGAATGAAAACTGATGAATTAAACATGGTTCTCAAGAGGTTAGTAAAAGATAGAGCCTAAATCAAGACCAATGGTTTGCTGTAGCTGTCAGCTTCAGATGGGAGCCAACAGTGCTATCTTCCCTATGTCCTGTTAGCTATTCAATATCCCACTGAGAATAGCTAATTCAGTTGGAAGAAGCATAGTCTAGCAAAAAACATTAAATAATAAATAAATATATTAGTAAAAGAGCTTTTGGGACAGGACCAGCAGTTGGTGTAATGGCTATGTCGCTGGACTCCCACGTAGTCGACCGTGGTTCGGGTCCCGGACCCGGTGGCTTAAACTCACGCCGGGTGCGTGTGCGTGCGTGCCCAAGATCCCGAGAGGAGAATGGAGGAGAAGGGACTGCAGTGTGGCCATCCCCCCTAGGGGGTGATTTCTCGCTTTCTGTCTCTCTGTCTCTCTCTGTCTGTCTGGCAAGCGCACGCGCCCTATAGCAAAAAACCTCTCCAAAAAAAAAAAAAAAAAAAAGCTTTTGGGACAAGGGCAGCAATGGTAAGAGCATAGTTGTATTTTTTTGTGTTTGTTTTTTGGGAGAATTATTTTTAATGTTTGTAAAATAAATTTATTTTCTTTTAATTTCTTTCATATATTCGATTACTATACATCACTTAGCTTATGAAGTGAATTCTCCCAACGTGAATACACTTCACACTAGTCCAGTTGAGGATACTATATATGTTGTCATCAAAGATAATAATCCATTTCTGTGTCCCATAAATAGTCTTTCCAGATCTCTGTATAAAAACAGGCAGGGTGGGGGCCAGCAGGTGGCATGAAATCATACCAGGTACACATGCATGTAGACCCAAACCCCCAGGAGGACAATGGAGGAGAAGGGATTGTGCTATGGCCATCCCCTCAGGGGGTGATTTCTCATTTTCCCTCTTACTGGTTCTCTCTAAAGAGTACATGTACTCTATGGCAGGGAGAAAAAAAAAAAAAAGGCAGTGTGACTAGTTAACAAAGCCAAAAAATCTAGGGACAATGCTTACAACAAAAATACCTAAGACCTAAATTAATACAAAGATAGCCTACATTTTTGGATTGGAAAGCTCAGTATTATTAAGATAGCAATTCTAGGGGCCAGCAGCTGACATGGTGGTTAAGGTACTAGACTCCCACATGGCTGACCACAGTTCAAGTCCTGGACCTAGTGGCTTGAAATTCACACTGAGCATGTGTGTATGAGTGCATGCCCAAAATCCTAAGAGGGGAATGGAAGAGAAGAGATTTCATGGCCTACCCTGGGGACTTGTGATTTCTCACTTTCTCTCTGTTTCTCTGGTGAGCACATGCACCCTTTAGCAAAACAAAACAAACTCTATATATATATATATAGTTGATGATAACATACATGATTAAGCCACTATAAAAATAATAGCAATATCTAGTTTCATATATATATAAATTATTGATGATAACATACATGATTAAGCCACTATGCAGTATATTCTGGATGGGAAACCACATTTTGTATGCTGAGACAATGATTAGACATGAGACAATGAATGTAAATTAATTAATTTTTAAAAAGTTTCAGGAGAAAAAAACACACGAAAACTTTCGTTTCTTGAAATTAAAAATAATGCACATTTGATGACTGCAGTAAGCTATATAGCCCCAGCTAGGTGGTATTTTATAGTATGTTCATTCTACTCACTGAGGTTTATGCCTAAAGTCAGACTTGTGTTCATGGATATGTATATATCAGCTGTGCTTGCTATTGGAAATATTTAGATTAATTAAGTTCATTAGCAAATAAATAAAATAGGGGGAAAGGGCACAGAAAGCAACCATGGATACCAAAGACAGTGTGGGAGGAGGGTGGGACATGACAGAGGGTGAGAGATAGGTAATCAAGGATGACCAAAAAAAAAAAAATAGCAAAATATACAGGAAACACGAAATGGAAAATTTTTGTTGTTGATAACACGTATGTTGATGTGCTTGATTGAGCCAACATATAGTGTATTCTGAATGGGAAATCTCATTTTGTATGTTGTAATAATGTATAGTGAATGAATAAAATTTAAAAAAATTATCAAAATGTATAGTGTAAAAAGAAAAAGTATTAACAGCTATAATAGCAATTCTCCCCTGAATTGATGTATATATTCAAAGGAATCCCAATCAAAACCCCAACAGATTTCTTTTTTAAGAATTTGCCAAGCAGATCCTAAATCTTTATGAAAATACAAAAGACCTAAAATAGCCAAACAATTCTGAAAAATAACAAATTTGAAGGACTTATATTCCCTGATTTTTTTTTAACTTACCAAAGGGCACATGTGACTACAAAAAAGAGACAGAGAAACCACCCTCCAATAGGGTGTGGTCATGTCGCAATCTCTCCTCCTCCATTTCTCCATCCTGATGGGATCTGAGGCACACACTGTGCATTCAAACCACCGGTCCTGGTATTTGAACTCCACAGTCAGAATGTAGCATCTGGTTCCCGTAATCATTAGACCATGGGGCCAACCCACATTCCCTAATTTCAAACTTACTAAGAAGCTACAGTAGTCAAGGCAACATGGCACTGGCATAGAGACGGACAGAGCAAAGGAACAGATGAGAAAGAAAGTCCAGAGATGCACACATATTTGGTCAGTTGGTGTTTGACAAAGATCCAGTTACCTTGAATGGAGAAAGACCATCTCCAACAAATGGTGCTAGAGAGATCAAGTCAGGAAGAGATGGCGCAGGGACCAGCATGTGAGTCTGTCCAGCTCCAGACTCCACAAACTAGACACTGTCAAACAATAAAGGTAACTACTAAAAAAGGAAAAGAAAACCTTGGGTGGCAACTGCACCCTCTAAGCTACCCCTTGTCCCTTATGAAAGGAGGTGGAGGCGTACTTCACCGCAGGAGAGCAAAGTCTTTATCCCATGAGAAGTGATCTAGAGCATGACAGCTGTACTTGTCCAGAAGATGCGATCTCAGATCAGCAGCTCAACCTGCCTCGATCAGAAGAGTGTGGGCAGCTCCACTGTCAGCTGGGGGTGGAGCCCTGGGGAAGAGCCTGGGCCTCACAGACCATTAAAGGGGGTGGTGCTATGTGGGCAGAGAAGAAAAAGAGAGACGGCAAAGACCAGAGAGGCAAATTGGGATCTGAGGTAAACTATACAGAATGAAATACCACTCAATGGTCTATTCTAGACCCACCCACCCCCGATCATGTGGATGTAAAAACTGGGGCCCCAGAAGAGGAAGGGACTTCAGAGAGGCTCAGGTGGTAAATCTAGAATTCAAATTTAAAGCATATTTCTCAAATGTAGCTAACTCTGGTAAGTGGGAAATTAGGGACAACCAATCAGTAATTGTCATGATGGAGGATGGTTGTTCTAACATTACAGAATAGTTCCCATCTATCCTTTGAACTGGGTCCCAGGCAAATAAAACCTCCACCTACTGCCCACCTGGTGGCCTGCATTACTGAGGAGCCAGCTTGGGAGCTCAAGGGAATCCTCTGGGGTTAAGAGCTCACCTCAGAGCACTGTGGCCCACTGTGGTCAGGTCATGTCCCTGAGTGGCCAGGCCAAAGGCCCACTGAGCAAGCTCAATGAGAAACCAGAGATGACCCTGTCCTGATTCTGAGGCCTCCTAATGCTTAGGAAGGCCACCCTGCCACCAAGTCCTTGGCCATCCCTCTAGGCTCCAACAACAAATGGTTTCCTTCTTGCTCGACACTTGAGGCAGTCCTGCCAGCCCAAGAAAACTAGGAGGGTAAGCTCCAAGCCAGCACATCCTGACTGGGTAATGCTCAAGTCAGGCTCCAATTCTCTGAGGTTTTGGCCTTTCCACAACAGTCCAGCCAGTAATTTCTGAACAGCCACTGCAGGCTAGACGTGTGGAAGGCCCAGTCCACCCCTAACAGAGGCTGACCACACTCCACCCTAAGACTGACCTTTCTTCACCAGCCTGAGTGCCCAAGGGCAGAAACCTCTGGAATTCATCCATGATCCACCACAACCAGCCCAGTTCTAGGGCTCCAGAAGATGCTTACCAGTTTATAATTACATAAAAGAATCTGCATTCTGAAAACTCGCCTTTTGTCATAGTTTTTTTTTAATAATTTTGTTGTTGGTGGTTAGATGATTAATTTTCCATTCTCCTTACTTTCATAACATAAACTTCTGTTAACTGAAAAGCTTAAACCTCGCCTCTGCTAAGCTAAATGAAAAAGGAGGTTGCCACACTTTGGCCAGGCCAGGATCACTGGCAGAGGAATCTGAGTTTTCCAAAGCTGGAGGTATAGAGTTGGCTGCCCATGGGGAGTAGGAAGGAGGGAAGAACTCATGCAGCTGGGAGCAGGGGTGGTGGAAAAGGAAAGTGAAGGAAGCCAAAAAGCAGGGGAATCTGGACCTGGGAGGGCTGCTCCCCCATACACCTGACCCAGCCTCTTCTTTCTTCCTCCCTGCCTCTGCCTCAACCTTTCAACTCTTCATCCAACCCAATATGTTCTGAAATTCTACCTCCTTGGGAACCAGCAGTTAGCCTAATGGCTATATCGCTGGACTCCCACGTAGTTGACCGCGGTTTGCGTCCCGGATCCGGTGGCTTAAAACTCACGCCAGGTGCGTGTGCGTGCATGCCCAAGATCGCGAGAGGAGAATGGAGGCAAAGGGATTGCGGCGTGACCATCCCCTCTGGGGGGTGATTTCTCACTTTCTGTCTCTATGTCTCTCTCTGTCTGTCTGGCGAGCGCACGTGCCCTATAGCGAAAAAAACCTCTAAAAAAAAATAAATTCTACCTCCTCAATACTCCTTTGAATTCTCCGCTTGTCTCCAGTCACTGTCTTCTCTCTGGTAAGTAGGAAAATGGGGACAACCACAGGGATGGCCATGATGGAGCATGGTTGTTCAACTGTGCGGGCTTCTTCCAATGCCAGCTCTGTACAGGGCCAGACAGATCTCTTAAGTACAGCCCTAATCACATATTCCCCTGCTTAAAACTGTTCGGTAGTTTTCCTCATACCCAAACAATCCCAGACTCCCTTCCTTTGCTGATGGGCTGCATGTGATCTGCCACTCTCCTGCCTGTCTCTGTCTAATCACTTGGCCCAGTTTTCCATGCCCAAGACAAGGCTTTTGGTCCCTTTGGCACACTGAGCTCATTCATCTGCAGGGACTTTGCAC